TTACAAAAAAAAAAAAAAAGCTTACTACTACAGTATAATGAAATACAGAACAACATTGAGAAATGAAGCCTAAAGTGCATTTGATTTTACTGTAAGCAGGTGACATGATGATATGTTTGCTGCATCTATGCAAATTTAACAATAAAGTCGTGACTTGTTAGAAGGAAAAATGACTCTCCAGAACAGAATCTCAACAATAAACACGTTTTATATAAATGTACTCTGCAAATGTACGTCTTGCATTGCAAAATCTTTTTCATATTACTAAAATATGGTCCCTTGATATTGGCAGCTTACCAAACTACATCCTCAACATCAATTTACTTCAAGGATATGTATTTAGAAATGCCTCATATGCAATTTTCTGGAGGTCCAAAAAGGGGGGGAAAAAAAAGGAAAAAAGAAAAAGAAGGATATATGCCTGATATGCTTCTTCCACCACAGATTGAGTGCTACCAAGAAACATTTAAACTCCAATGACTAGTATGTGCACAAATACAAGAACAGAACGTGTGTTATGAGTTAATATCTTTTATACTACGTAGGCCTCTCATCACAAATGATATCATAAACTTGTTAAAATCATTTATCTAAGTCGTTTGTGTATGACATAACAAAATTTGATGTCTAAAACAAAGTTTTGAGGCAACAAGATAAATTAAGCTATTTTTAACCATGAGGGAATGTTCAAGAACCAACGCATTTTAGTTAATTAATTACAAACCTTGATGGTATGTTTCCACATGGTTGTGTGGCTAGAGGAGTACATTTTTGGCATTTATTGAAGCTTAGGGTGGCTATCCTTTTGAAGCCCATTTACCACATGCCTTTCCAAAAGACCAAGTGAAAATGCCCAGCAGCTGCACATGTATACCATATACATATGCACGAAAAGCTACCTTTCATGTCTATTTCTTGCCCCCATCTGCTTCATGCGCCTTGCTAATTGGTTATCCAGTACTCTCATTTTCCACAGCTACTAGTCTTCAACAAAAACGTATTATCTTTCGCATCAAAGCATCCCCCTCAAAAATGCAAATTGAACCCTACACCATGGACTTCCATATAGTGCATTTAATTCTTTTTAATTATTGGGTTGCAGCTATCCATGTAAAGTAGATGAAAATAATACTTTGCCTCTTCGGGTTGAAATGGACAATAGTTATATAAAAGACTTCAAATTTCAAAATTGTAGTTTCTTAGTCAATTTTTAGAATTGGAGACGAAACTTTAGAATAAAGATTGACAATAATGTTATATATCTAACAAATAGCTGTCTTGGTGCAGGATGATTCAGCCTAAGCTACTTTCCATTAATTGGGATGGGGACAATATTGCTAGCTAAAGCCTAAATCGTGAATAACTTGCAATTTTTTTTTTTCTTTTTTATGCACTAAAGTAAGTAGTTGAAGTCTGTGGGGGGAAGGAAATAGGGAAGGAAAGCACGGGTTTAAACCCTTACCATAAGGTGTGGAAGATTTTCAAACTAATGATGGTTCCACCTCAACTACCAAAGCTCTAGTGAATAGCTTGCATTCTATTCATAAAATTGTTTTTTTCTCTTTTTTTTTTTTTATTATTTTCCTTTTTTTCATTCAATTTTGACTGCTTGTACTCTGTGCATATAGCAAATGCTGAATATATAACAGTGACAAGAGAGAATCCAAAATCCCCAAATTGAACAGTTGCAGCTTTGGGAAGCTGTAGATGTAAATACATTTTGCTACCCAATAACTATCTATACTTTAACTTGAACACAGAACTCCCAACCTGCAGCATTAAGGCTCTACTTCTCAGTAGTCATTAGTGTTGGAAAGTGGAGGATTTACTGCATGCAATATCTTCACAGACGCAAGCATTCCAACAAATATTGATATTTTCATGAACCCTGTGTTTAGTATTGTTGAAATTTTTATAAACGTGTTGAATCATGAAATTATAACATGCCGGGTATACATTATAGTTAGATTGGTTCACATATGAAGTGGAGTTAAAAGAATGTGTAAAGATCTCGTATGGAAGAAAAATGAGTTGAAAGAATATATATCTTTTAAATTCAAGATAGTGTGCAAATTAGTTGACTTACTCCCTAACAGTTTTTTGTTGCTACTTTGAGATTTTAAAACAAAAGTAGAGTACATTAAATTTTTACTCAAAAATATTTACCTGCAAAGTGATGAATCTGAGATCAATAATTCAGTAAATTTGATGAAAAAGGAGATGGGTTTTTAGTGGAGCCAATGCCCCTTTTTGTCTTCCTCGTGCACCCAATGTTGTTACCATATTTGTGTGCTTGTGATTGATTTGAAACAGATTGCTAAATTCACTAGACCCCACTCAAGATTTCATGCTAACCTTCAAAAATCACGCGGTTTCATTCATTTTGAACCCTTGAAAACCATTGTTCATCCTCAGGAAAACAGCATTTGTTTCCAGCAAAATCAGACTTAAATTTTTTATTTTTTATTAAAAAAAAAAAAACCACTTTTTCAGTTGCATGGTCCCAACAGCTCAATGATGTCAGGTTGTGCTGTCAGGTTTGATGCTGACTACCCTCTATTTATTCCCTTCAAACACCCATCTTCATTCCCACAAACAACTTCTTTCAAGGTTCATCTACTTGTAAACAATCTTTAATCTCCTTCCTCTTCCATTTTAATTTCTTCCTTCTTATAAACCAGCATTTTGAAAAGAAACTTTTGCAGGGGAGTGACTTTCTGGTTGCTTTTTTGCAGGAAAATGGCTTTGTTGGGGATTCTGGTTGTGGCGTTTTTCTCAATTATTTCATATGCTCATGGGTATCAGAGGAACCATGGATACCATGGAGCTTGGATTAATGCTCATGCCACTTTCTATGGAGGTGGTGATGCCTCCGGAACAATGGGTATGACTGTTCTAGAATTGACTAGAAAAGCTGTAAGTGTTGCCTTCTGTTTTAATCATGCTTGAATTTTGGGCATTGATGCAGGTGGAGCTTGTGGGTATGGGAACCTGTACAGCCAAGGGTATGGTACCAACACAGCAGCATTGAGCACTGCATTGTTCAACAATGGCTTGAGCTGTGGGGCATGCTTTGAGATCAGGTGTGTCAATGACCCACAGTGGTGCCTTCCTGGCTCCATTGTGGTCACTGCCACAAACTTTTGCCCACCAGGGGGCTGGTGTGACCCTCCTAATCACCACTTCGATCTCTCTCAACCTATCTTCCAACACATTGCCCAATACAGAGCCGGTATTGTCCCTGTCATGTACAGAAGGTATAAAGACAACAATTTTCAACAAAAAAGTAAAGTAATTTAATTTCTTGATGAAGGTTTCGAGAAGGCTAAAGTACAAATGAAATGGGTTATTTTGCAGGGTGAGATGCAGGAGAAGTGGGGGGATTAGGTTCACAATCAATGGCCATTCCTACTTTAATTTAGTGCTCATAACAAATGTTGGAGGTGCTGGTGATGTTCATTCTGTGGCAATCAAGGGCTCAGGAACCAGATGGCAGCCAATGTCAAGAAATTGGGGCCAGAATTGGCAGAGCAACTCTTACCTCAATGGCCAGAGCCTCTCTTTCCTTGTCACAGCCAGTGATGGCGGCAGTCTGGTGTCTTACAATGTTGCCCCTGCTAGTTGGTCCTTTGGACAAACGTACACTGGAAGACAGTTTAGGTATTAATTACCATCCATCCCCCCATCCCCTGCAAAATATGAAGCAGAACTTCCCCTAAATCAGGGTTTCCATTATATGATAAAAGTGTTAATCTTTCTTGGGTCAATCTTAAATTTAAATATGACCCTTTTTTATGTAGTATGATTAGTGTGAGTGTGAGTTTTTGCAGTTCACTCCTTAGGCTTTGTATTCAAGCATGGAGAAGTAATTGCTTTGTGAGAGGGAGATTCTATAATAGGGAATATTGATTACAAATCTGTCTTAATGTAAGTTATGTAGTGGAATTTTACTATCCATTTGGTATTGTTTGATATAAGAAAGAGTTTTTCTTCAATCTGCTGTGCAAGAAAAATATAAATTTCTGGTGCAAAAATATCATTATTACATTTTTATGCCTCTATAATTCATTAAAGAGTTTTTTTATTTTGGCATACCATGGACATAATTTTTTTTATTAGACAAATTGTAAAACAGTTATACTTATATGTAATTATATGTAATTAAATAGAAGTTTTTGAAGAACACCAGAAAGGCAATTTTGCCTGCTACCTGAGTCCATATGACATGGGCAATGGTATTTTTTTTCTGATATTGCATAAGCAGGATGAATCTGATGATGAGATTACTCAATAATTTGTTTGATCACAACCTTAAACAAGTTGGCAGAAGTAGCATGAGCTGAAACAGAACACATTTCTAAAGAATAATTAATGATACTCAAAACTGAATTTTAAAACTGAAATTTAGGATAAACTTATGATAATTACTAATAACGGTGTGGGTTTTATATGAGTCTATATAATTAGTAATTGAGAAAATTTCGTTTTAAAATTTGATTTAAAGAGTAAAAAAAAATCTTTTCCAAATGAAAAATGAAAGTCACAACAAATTATGGTTCCAGGCTCTTGGGTAGCTGTTGCGGTGAATGCGGCGGGAGAAGAGGGGCCTTGGCAGTTAATGGTTGGAAGTCGGAAAGAACAGGTGGGTGTGATACAGGTTGGCTGAATGACACAGGAAAAGTGACGGAATGGAATCTTTTCCAAAGATATGGCAAATTTTGGTGATGGAAATTGGACCCCCTTTAATTAAATATGGATCTTATGTATGTATAAATATATATATATATATTTTTTGAAACAAATTCACAATGAATCTGAACCATTACTTTATTAAAATGGAGAAAGCACTAATACGTGACCTAATGTCATTAGATCGAAGGCCTAAATGCATGTTTATATATAGT